CACAGCATTCGACTCGAGTCGGTTCTACTCAAGACAGGAATGCTATTGCGCTTGGTTCGCAGCACACCTGTTCAGCAACCCTGAACTAGTGCCAGATATTCCTACTCCAAATGCAAACATAGTTGTTTTACCGAGAATAGGGTTCAATTACACACATAAACACTGTAATGTGTTGACACTATAGTTTTCAGAGGGCAAATACACTTTCAAACCATACATTTCCAGACCAGAGGTCAGCAGAATAGCCTAAAACCACACTGTGCTGTTATTTCACTGTCTCAAGTAGAAGTAAACAACAATTTGAGTAGGAAGTAAAATCATCAGATCCACAAAAAACCCTATAAAACTGCAGTGGAACGTCTTGGTGCATCCACCATCTATCTGCATAGGGATTAGTTTGTTAGGTTCTGGTTTTGGGTGAGAATTTCAGTCAGAACAGGAAGAAATCAAACACAGAAAAGGACTTAGAACCTAAATTGTTATGTATTTTGTTGATCCTACCAGTCTGGGAGCAGTACAGCATTGCCAGCAGACTGGGTATTTAAATTTCGGTTCAAATCCCAGCACTGATTGAGTATATCAGTATGGATTTGATACCACAACCTTCCGATTGCTGGCTCACCTTTCCTGCCACTGGGCTAAGCTACCCTGCTAACATGTAGATGTAACATCTCAATTTACTAATGCTGTGACAGAGATAAGCATATATTTTCCATACATTTATCCATTATGCAGTAAATGACTCTTATGTAACAACATGATATTTGCAAAAGAAGAACAAATGTGAGAACCGGACTGTGGGACATACAGTCATATGCAAACGCTTTTGCGTTTCTGGTCAAATGACATGTCTTCTTGATATTCAGAGTAAAAATAGGCTAACATCCTCAACAGAGAACACACTTCTGCACATTTTAATGCACTATTATTGTTTCTTTGCTGAATTTAACACATTGGGGGGAAAAATGAAACATAAAATAAGGCCTGTGCAAAAGTAGTTTATGTTTCATATTTCCCAATATGTTAAAATCAGCATATAAACAGAAATTGTGCACATTTCACATATAAAATGTATAAAATAAAAGCCCAATTATTTTGAACAATGGCTGATGCAAATGGCGGAAGCTCCACAGGTCCACACTGATCTGTGTCCACCCCTGTTTTTTTCACCACTGTAGTTGTAGAGCCTTCATTTAGCAGACATAGTGTGGTATGGAACACAAAGCTGTTTCACACCAGAATACTGGTTTCACAACACCTAAGATGTTCAGATATGCAACACCCACGATTATATACAAAGTAAGACTCAGCTTGTGTTGAATTGCATTTACTTAACACAAGCGTCCTGCGAAAAATATAATAAAATAAAATGTTAAAACTGACTCACCTGAAAAGTGGTGTTCAAGCAAAGTGGTTCTAAAGAACTGTTCACCTCAGAGCAGAGAACAGTACTGACTGAGCTTGTACAGAGTGAATGATGTCACTGTAGCTTGTTGCTTATTAAAGCAATTGCCAGTGGAGGGGTGCGCTCCAGTACCCGCCCGGGCTGTGGTTTAGAGGTGGGCGATACGGCAAAAAATGTACGTTTTTCCGATAAACAATATGTCACAATGTTTGTTTTATCTGATATCAAATTAGTTGGAACAGAAAAAGTAAAGAAACACTATGAATACATACATACATACATTTTTTAAGTATAATATCCACCATATACTCAGAAAGGTATACTGTGACATGTTGTGGCCTAATTTATCATGATAACGAAAGATACTGCCATGCCACCCACCCTAGTGTGGTTTCCACTCCATGTACCAGTGGCACAGGGTCCGGCCTATGCTGCTTTTGCCGCCCAAAAACTTGAGCTCAGTTGTATCAAATCAGAACAAACACTACGCAGGAAATCATGGCAAACCCTCTGAACCCACAAGTCACTATTCGTCCTCAGTCTGGACAGCTACAACAATGTCCAGGGACATTTTTAATTGGAGATTGGCTGAGCAACCGTTGACATAAGAGCCAGTGTAAGTGCTGCCAACTCTCCATTTAAAAGGGTTTCTTGTCCTTGTAAAAATACGGTGAGCGAGCACAGATAAACAGAGCACACCCTGTGACAACTGACCCCTCTTACAACTAGAAACCTAGAAATCTATCAAGTCTATACATGGAACTGAGTGAAACCTGCCTCAGCATACAGACTGCAGATGAGAAGTTAAAACTGTTTGTCATCGTCCAGTTATAGATATAAAAATGTAATATCACGATAATTAACTAACTGTTTGTTACGGCTTACAGCATTTTCATGATATTGTAGAAACACTACATGTGTAAGATAATACATATACATGTAGTGGACTGTTATTTAACAATATCAATAATGTTTCAGTGATCTATTTTGGGGATTTCTGAAAAACTTTTGTTTAATGGCGTCAGAGCCTTCATTCATTTCTAAAATCCTGATTTTTAATGATCTTAATGGGCTTCATATTTTTGATTTGCCTTGTTATTTTTCTTTTGGGCCAGGTGGTTTGCCTGGTACTCTATCATGAGCTGTGAAGGTGCTCAGATCAGGGGCTTTAGTTTTAGGGGGCTTTAGCTTTAACGTCAGTCGGCAACCGTGACGGGACTTGGTGACAGGAATTTGGCTACAAGATTACTAAACTAAACATATGAACTTATTCAAAATACATGGTCAGTGTAGCTGGCTCTTGAGTTTTTACGGGTTGCTTGTTGGCTAGCAAACTTTAGGTTTGCATGAGGTAAAGATAAGTGGGCAGATAATATAATACTAAGGTATGGAGCCCCTAACATGATATGGTGACTAATCTTTAATAAGACGTGGCCACAAACAAATACATTGTGGCCACAAGTTAAGTTTCTCATGGTAATAAACTAATATATTGAGGCCACAAATTAATAACAACGTAACACATGGCCTCAATATGTTAATAAAATATATTAATCCGTGGCCACGAGAAACCTCACACATGGCCTCAATGTAGTAATTTGTGGCCACACATTATTGAAAAATAACTACCACGTCACCTTACGAGCTCCATACTAACGTTAGCTAGCTGAGGAGTCAACTATTTTAGTCTAAACATAAATTTTGGGACCATTTAAGAAAAATCTTTAAAACTTTAAAGGCTAAGCCTGACCTCTATAAATCTCCAGTGATACCCCAGACCGATAAGACTCCATAAAACAGCCGTACTTACGTCAAATAATGCATGGGATCGCAATGTGACAGTATTTCAAAATTTATACCAGTGGTGACCAAAGTCCGACCCCATGGCCAATTGTGGCCTGTGGACAGATTTTAATTGGCTGTGACTTCTGTTTAAGAGGGTGTTGTAAGTGGCCCACCAGCCAGTACATTGCAGTTTTTCCTTTCACCTGATGGTGGCAGTACTGTAAAATTACAGTGCAATGTGCTGCAATGTGGTAGCAAAGCTAGCTAAAGTAAAGGGCTTTTCTTCTCTGACTAGACCTGCAACTTATTTTACCGAACGACATTTAGTCAAGCCTACAGCCATAAAGCACCAACTTAACATGGAGAACTGGCACTTTTTACGAGATGTAAATTTGAGAACTTTTTCCATCGAGAGCCACAGCAAACACGTGTGCCTCATACATCAAGAGACTGTAATGAATTTAATATCAACAGACATAAACAAAGCAAGGATGATACAATGAATATTCAGGAGAGGGCAGAGAAACTAAAGCAACCGCAGCTACCCCAGTTTCACAGCACCAGCTTCTTATCAGAGCAAATTCAGTAAATATTAACTGCTTAAGGATGAACAAAAATGTGGCTATTCATGCTGTTTAATCTGCTCCACTCATTTAATAAAGCGATTTCTGAATGCTGCTGCTGCATTTATTTGATAAGTAAAGAACATTGTCTTTAACTATTATCGTTATATCTTACATTATCTAATATCTATTATCCTGATCTTACATCTATTATCATTATGTTATATCCATTATCATTATCATATATCTTACATTGTCTTGTATCTATTATCAAAACCGAAAAATGTATAGATTTTTGTTTAGGTTGTCTAACAAAATATATTTTTGAACAAGTAAACACTCATATAGAAATAGACTTATATACACTAGACATGTTTCATTGTTACTTTTTACCAATTTAATTATTTATTATAACTGCTTACTGATCCAAACTGCTCTGAGCAATCCTACAATACAAGAAGACTTGTGCAATTTTTACAGTGACAGCACTCAAAAAGCTCAGATTTCATGCACTGCTATTATGAAAGCTTAATATTTTGAATTATTCATAAATATAGCTGGACAATAAGGCAAAAATAAAATATAGCGATACTTAAAAAAATTTTCATGATACACAATGTGTCACAACAAGACATCTGAACAGTTAAAATGAATAAAAAAAGAACCAGCAGTTTTTATAATAAAAATACTATAAAAACTGTGTAAACAATGACTTTTATTCAATATTTGGCATACAGTGTTGCACTAAATCCAGTTCAACTGTGCTAATTTTGATCTCTTTGTGATGAAACATGGAGCTGGTCATTCTTCTACAAGTATGACGATATGCACACGTTCAGAAAAGCACACTGTCATATTTCCCAGCCCTATTTGTGAATAATATTTCAGCCTTTAAGTATTTTGACATGGTACAATGTGGCCCTCTTTGAAAAAAGTCTTCGGTGTACACGATAACAACATCACGAGCTGAATATCGCGGTATAGCTTATCGGCTCAGTCTCATCTACCCAGCCTTACCTCATTCACTACATTACTTTACAAGAGCTTGTAAACAGCAACAACAGAGTGACATCAGCTGGACTCCCCCCTACAGGTAAACTGAGAAAACCAGGACCTGACAGACCAAGAAAACTTAGAGAGAAGCTGAACTGCCATGAGAAAAACTATGAGGTGAAAACAACAACCGACCTGAGGGAGAGAGAGAGTTAGTTAATCCAAGCCCGGCTGTGCTGGAAACACTCACTCACCTCCCCAACTGCTTAATCCACGTCCTCCTCCTCCGAGAAGGTTACAGACAGTGAAGGCAGCGAAGACAGCGCTCTGGGCTTTTACTCCACCTCCAGCATATTTCTCTCCAGCCAAATGTGCCTCACTGTTCTCCTTCACAGTGAAACAGCAGCAGTTTGGGGTTGTTTGTTTCTGTGCTCAGCGTTTGAAAGTTAGCTGAAAGAATTAGCGTTAAACTGGCGGCTGTGGAGTGGAAGTCGTTCTGAGTGAACTGCTCGCTTATCCGCCTCGCGTTTGAAGCCGGTGGGCTCCGGTTTTTATTTTTAGTATAGTGTTTTCCTCAGGAGAGTCGTGGGACCGCGATTCACCGAAGAGAGCCCACTCAGAGCAGCGGAGCAATCCAGACACGTGGGCGGGGCGTGGGAAGGAGTATGGGCGTGGTGGAATTACTTGGAGCGTGGTCACGCCTATCTTCCTGCTCATGCGTCACCGGCGATCAGCCAATTAGCGCTGAGAATGTGCTAGAACGAGCATATACGCTCTTTATATCCTAAAAGCGAGAGTCTATGGGTCAGTTTAACTTTACATACTTTTAAGTTTTAATACAGAAAACAGCATCTGTGAAAAAACATGTATCTCCAAAATGGAAAAATACAGGTGAAAGGAGAACTCCACCAATTTTTCAAAATTTCTGTGGGATGTAAACAAAGTCATTCAGAGTGGTTTGATGTGAAATGGCTCACTGTGGAGACACTTACTGACTCAGATATCTTTACAGTGGTGGTGACAGAAACCAGGGGTTACAATGTCCACAACAAAAACAGAGCCATTTTTTACTATCCAAAACCACCAGTGAACCTACACGTGTCATCTGAGTTTTTTTTTTCCATGAAACGTTGATAATGGTAAAATAAAAGTCAATCTGACAAAATAAGTTTTGTTTGGGGACTATTTTGCCTTAGAACACACTTCATGAATCCCTCCACCACGAATTGATTAAAATAAATTGATTAAAATATATTTTAGACCAAAACTTTATCACAAAACTATTGTAAAAGTTGTCAGACAGTGTATTCTAGAGCACTTGTAATAACTTTCTATAGGGAGCTTTAAGAGGTGTAGGTCTGGTTCTTATCACCACCACTATGAATTCTTTCTCTGTAAGCTTCTCTAGAACAGAGCATTCCACACCAAACTACTCTGAATGACTTTGTAGATTTGTTAATCACTTAATTATGCATAAATTTTGAAAAAATGAGGGAGTTCCCCTTTAATGTAAAGAGGCTTTGTTCCATGTAATTCTGGAGCATTTTTATTGATGCATTAGTCATAAAATTTCCACAGGACAGCTGCTGTGTTCAAATGACGTAGAGAAAAACAAAACAGAAAAAAATGAAGATACACATTTCTTAGTTTATTTCTTGACAGGAATGATTTTAAGAATGTTTAATGCCAACAAAGGTGCTGAACAGCTCCTTCAAATAAAGGTGCCACTACAATCATCAATTATTCAAGTTAACAATATTCTTAAAGGATGACTGTTTTTAGTTACACTCCCAAACTCATTTATGAAAATGAATGGATTAGGGCAGGGGTGCCCAGACTTTTTGTCTTGGGGGGCCAAAGTGCAATGTTTGTGGTCAGCTGAGGCTCAAAAGGACAAAACAAAATACAAATAAAGGATGTATTTCATAACATTACACCATATTTTGTTAATAAAATAGCTCAAAAAGATATTTTCAGCAATGCAGTAACACTGACGTGGTGCTGGTGTATTAGTGTGTGTTGCGCTGGTCTGAGTGGATCAGACACAGCAGTGCTGCTGGAGTTTACACACCTCAGTGTCACTGCTGGACTAAGAATAGTCCACCAACCAAAAATATCCAGCCAACAGTGTCCTGTGGGCAGCGTCCTGTGACCACTGATGAAGGACTAGAGGATGACCAACACAAACTGTGCAGCAGCAGATGAGCTACTATTTCTGAATTTACATCTATTCGGTAAACCAACAAGGTATGCGTGTCTAACAGAGTGGACAGTGAGTGGACACAGTGTTTTAAAAGAGAATGATCCACCACCCAAATAATACCTGCTCTGTGGGGGTCCTGACCACTGAAGAACAGGGAAAAAGGGGGCTAACAAAGTATGCAGAGAAACAGATGGACTACAGTCTGTAACTGTAGAACTACAAAGTGCACCTATATAATGATAAAATGGACAATGAGCGTAGAAACAAGGAGGTGGTGTTAATGTTATAGCTGATCGATGTATGTTGTCTTACAGGGTGAGGGGTGGGGTTGGGGTGCCTTTCTGGCAGGTCAAACCAAACACCTTGTGCCTTGTGGTCGAAGATCCCCCAGAACCCTGGTAGTCAGAGACCCCTGGCAATCAGAGGCCCATGAACACTGGCCTCAGAGGCCCAGTCAGTAACCAACCATGGCTGTTACTGCATTATAAGGAGAACAAACTCCCTATTAATATGCTTGACTGAAGAATTAGGAGGTGTACAAACTTTTGAGCAGTGTGTTTAGCACTGGCTACATGCTGAGTGCACTGACAACACAAAAGCAGCATGAACGTTTACATCGGACCACCTCTGCACTGTACAGACTTTATTACTCACCCTGACTCTGCCAGTCCAACAGTTCTATTCCAGGGTGAGAGCTGGAGATTAACCTCTGGCCTGGAGCAGCTTTACGTCACATCCTTATAATCTCGCCCAACCCAGCTGAGTGTTTACCCTCAGCACTGCCAAACTGCCCAAGCATGAGGTGACTGAGAGGCTGAAACTGGTTGTGTTAGGACTAAACAACACAACATTTGCTCATCTTTACCACAGTATTATCACAGTATTGGACTTTGCAACACTGATATGGAGGAAGGCTGCAGTATGTACAGTCGCATATAAAGTTTGAACACCCATTACATGTTTTTGTTTATTTTTCTTAGTGAAAAAATGTTGACACGTCCTCTGCAGGCAACAAACTTAAGTAACTTTTCGTGCACAATTTCTAATTATTTTTAACATTTTTAACTTTCTTGCTGGTCAATTCAAACACCGCGTGCCTTATGGAAGATCCCCCAGAACGCTGGTAGTCAGAGACCCCTGGTGATCAGAAGCATAACATTTTCCCAATATGTTAAATTCAGCAAATAAACAGCAACGGTGCAATAAAATGAGCAGAATTGTGTTGATTTTCGCCTAGAAAATCAACCAAACATGTAATTTGACCAGGGGCGCCCAAACGTTCACATATGACTGTCCTTGAGTTAAGACTCAAGTCCTTATCTGTCATTTTTTAATGAGTATCGTGGCCAGCCTATAACGCTCCGAATGAGTTTCTGTGGATGTTTAAATCTGTTGAGGCGCTCATGATGCAACAAACATTATTTATTAGCTTTATTATCATCAGTTTAATGCAGGCCAGTCTTTAAAGATGTAAAAAATCTCCATAATTCAACATGAGATGCAAAAAAAGTCATTCAGAGTCATTAATGTGAAATTCTTTGGGCCATAATTATTAAAACTCACAACCCGCTTTTATGCTAATGCTCTATTATAATTTCTTCTTGCACCCCTATGGGATTTTAGTAGTATGTTAGTGCTACACTAAGAGCGATTTACATGAACATTTTTTGTAGAAAAAATATAGTAAACAACATAAACACAATATGGTATCCTGTCTTATATGTTGCGTCCATATTGTGTAAATGTAAATATGGTGCATCCTTAGGTGTGTTTTCCACTACACATTCAAAAACAAGGACTGACCCAAGCGAGAACCAGTGGAACCTACAGTTCTAGTTCCAGTTCATTTTCCTCCTGCTTGAGACGCAGCTGGAACCGTCTTAATAACTGTGATCAATAATTTAACGGTCTTTTTAGTCACTTAATGCCACTGTAAACCCGTCTAATTTGGCTAGTTAGCTGCTTGCTAGTTAGCTCAACTTTTTGGCTGCCACAAAGCGATATACTGCTCTTTTCTGTTCTCACACACGTACACAAATGTCTACATTTACACAGACTCACGAGTAGAATCCAACAAAGCTTAACATTTTCTGTATCAATCGTAAAAATATGAGCAAAAGCATTCATTCTGTGGAGGTTAGCGTAAACGCTAATTACATTAGTGTTAGCTTCCTAACTGGCCTTTGCGACCTTAGCAAACCTATTACAAAGTAATAATTCTGAAAATAACAATGCATAGATTTACTATGTTAGAAAAATCAGCATAGACCAGCGGGCCCGGTCACCAGCAAGACCAGTATACTGTAGCGTCCTGCTACTAGCTTGCATAGCCATAGGGGCGCAGGAGGCATGGCCATGCAGAGCAGCCGGAGTGGAAGTTGATATGCTGATCACCATCAAAACAAGCATATGTTGTGTTTTGGATGCTGATAAGCTGGTCAACCAGCATGACCATGACAAGCTAAACCAGCATAGACCAGCCTAGACCAGCATGGGCTTTGTGCTGGTCTGTGCTGTTTTTTCAGTGGGGTACATTCCATTCTACACTGTACTTTTTTTTATAAAAACAGTGACAATACGTTGTCTCGATGATGTAACATTACAGTCATTTAATTTCTTAGATTTATTGCCTTTTACTGTTTCACTATTTAAACTAGTCTTTCTGATGTACAATATTTTACTATATTTATAACAGTTACAACGATTCAAATAAATGCAAATGTCTGTGATATAAAGGTGATCATTTTCTTTGTGAATTTATACTTTAATTTGTCTAAATCTGTTAAAATACAGTAAATGTATGAATTATTTATTTATTCATTTTACTTTTTAAAAAAACAGTACCCCTTTTTTTTACAGTACTTTGACCGTAAAAATACTTCTGTTTACAGTGTAGTTTCTGTTGCGTTTGTTTGTCATGTAATAGTGCTAAAGAATTTGTCACTGAATAAATTGTTGCTGGGTTTAGCTATAAATGTTACTAAAGACTAAAATATATAATATTTCTCATCTTGAGATTCTTGGTTTGATTATTTAGATGTGTTTTACTTGTTTAATTTAGATGTATTTACTTGTTTGTCATGTTATCTAGTGAAAGTGTCTTACTGTATTGGCAGATCATTTTGCTGATGGTGTTGCAGTCTTGGTCGAATACAAAAAAAACCCATACTGGAGCAGTGGCCGACAGAAAAAGCTGCAGTGTGGGTTTAGGTGGGTGTGGGTGTTATATTTATCTGGCCATATGTAATCTCCAGATTTGTATCAAGGGAGGAATTTCAAAGCGGCACTACATTTGAAATCAGCGTTTACTCTGACACTCACTGCAACACCCCGCAATTAACCACAGACAGGAAACGTGCCACACCTATAAGTGGTGTTTGGCGGCCTTCTTTCCACTGGCACATCGAGCCAGGCTGACCAGGCCTTGCCCAGCCTT